AAATGCTTCGGTGTGGAATAACTATACTCCACCACTTAGCAGACAAGGCATATACTGAGCAAGTATTTGCACAAACCATTAACCGGATTATTTTCAGGGCACAAATGGCGTATCAAGTTGCAGTAGGACCAAGCTCCTCCCCTTGTGTTAATGTTGGGCAAAGCAACCCAGTAAGTGAAATAGATTCCCAAAAGCCAGGCACTAGGGACGGCCCCTGCTCCCATTGTTAGGAGTCCTACAAGTAGACCAAGCCAATTGTCACACACATATGCAGATGACCTAGGTCAGTCCCGTGCAGGTTCCCTGGTTGTCGGCTCAGTCTGCGGACTGACAGAACATCTGATAGCCTTGAGGTTCAGAGAAAGTGTTCACCTGAGGGACTTGAAGACAGCTGTAAATCAAGCATGCTAAATACGTTGGGGCCCTGCTAAGAGAGAGGCTGAAACTTTCTAGGGGAAACAGGAAGCAGGCCAGGAGGTAAGGAGGGAGGGAACACACAGGGAGGGAGGGACTTCTGCCACGGGATGAGACACAGGGCAATCCCAAAACCTTGCAGGGACTTGGACCATTGTTGAAAAATGAGCTCCTGAACGGGAACGGTCACATCACCCCCCTGGGGTTCTCTGGGCCCAGTGGATACGATGGCAACTCACCCACAGTCAAGAGTATGGTGCTGTGGGAAGTCACATCGCATCGCTGGAAGCCAAGACACTAGGTTCCGCACTGCTGTCACCTCCCCCAGACCCAGTACCCTGTATACAGGAAATACGGAGAACCCAATCATTCCTGTGGGGGTATATGACCATGTAAACAAATATAATAGCACTGACATTTGAAGAGTGGTTTTTATGTTCCTAGTGCAAGGGGAGCATTTCAGGTTTTCATGTGGGTTTTCTCACCAATTCTTTCTTTTCTTTTTTCTTTTTCTTTTCCTTTCTCTCTCTCTCTCTCTCTCTCTCTCTCTCTCTCTCTCTCTCTCTCTCTCTCTCTCTCTCTCTCTCTCTTTTTTTTTGAGACTCGGTCTTTCTATCAGTCCTGGCTGTGCTAGAACTCACTATGTTTACCAGGCTGACCTCGAACTTACAGATCCTCCTGCATCCTGAGTGCTGAGATTATAAGCATGCACCACCATTCCTGGCTTCTCACTAATTCTTTTTTATATTAAATTAATTTATTTATTTTACGTCCCGACCACAGACTCCCCTGCCTCCTCTCCTTTCATTCCTTTCCCCCTACCTCCCTTCTGCCCCTCATTCCCAATCCTACTCCTCTTCAGTTTCCATTCAGAAAGAGGCAGGGCTACCGTGGGTATCAACAAAGCGTGGTGTATCAAGTTGCAGTAGGACCAAGCTCCTCCCCTTGTATTAAGGTTGGGCAAGGCAACCCAGTATGATGAGTAGGTTCTCAAAAGCTGGCCAAAGAATTAGGGACAACCCCTGCTCCCACTGTTAGGAGACCTACCAGTATAGTGAGCTACGCAATTGTCACATATATAGAGGATCTAGGTAGGTCCCATGCATGCTCCCTGGTTGTCAGGTCAGTCTCTGTGATCTCCTATGAGCCAGGTTGGTTGTTTCAATCTTACCAATTCTTTATGTCATCATTTGAACAGTTGTGCCCACTTACCAAATGAAAAAGATTCCCGGGAATGAAATAGTTTGCTACAGCACTTTTGGCCAAGAAAGGAAAGAAGTCGGGCGTTGGTGGCGCACGCCTTTAATCCTAGCACTTGGGAGGCAGAGGCAGGCGGATCTCTGTGAGTTCGAGGCCAGCCTGGTCTACAAGAGTTAGTTCCAGGACAGCCTCCAAAGCCACAGAGAAACCCAGTCTCGAAAAACCAAAAAAAAAAAAAAAAAAAAAAAAAAAAAGAAAGGAAAGAAATAGAATTCAAGGCCAAATCTGCTCTGCCACGCCAACCTGCCATCTTATAAGAATGAGACTCTCCAAAGTCATGGTAGTTTGTAGCAGCCTAACATTCTGGGGTTTTTTGTTTTTGTTTTTTGGGTTTTACGTTTGTTTGTTTTTGAGACAGAATTTTTCTGTGGCTTTGAAGGCTGTCCTGGAACTTGCTCTGTAGACTAGGCTGGCCTTGAACTCACAGACATCTGCCTGCCTTTGCCTCCCACATGCTGGGATTAAAGGCATGTGCCACCACTGCCTGGCATAACATTCTGATTCTGATTTGTTTGTTTTTTGAAACAGGGTTTCCCTGTGTAACCCTGACTGCCCTGAACTCACTCTGTAGACCAGACTGGCTTTGAACTCAGAGGTGTGCCTGCCTCTGCCTCCTGAGTGCCTAACATCCTGGAAAGCCGCCTTCTCACAGAAAACCCTCATGCACAAATCTCCCTCCCAAACACATCCTTCTGCCATCAGCCTGGAGTCTGTTACAGGATGCCTTCCGTGTCGGTCCTGGGGACTTTGCATGGCACCTTGGAGAGTCGTTTGTCCTCCATGGGTGGCAGGTCTGGGAAGGCAAACACAGGGAAATGGGTCAGAGAGCTAGGAGCTTCTCTGGGACAAGGACAGTCTGGTTGGGAAGGTGTTGGGCTTGCCTTCTAGATGAATGAAGGACAGACAGACAGCGTGTACACTGTGTGCAGGTCTCCCATCTCCGGAGCACATCGGGACTGTGCCTGCGTCCCTCAAGTATGCTTTTATGTGACTACACCCTAGCAGGAGCGCTCTTCTTTGGTGCTGACTCCATCGCCTTTTGGCTTTCTCCCCCTTTTCATCCTTTTTGCCTTATTTATTTCCTCTTCCTTCCTTTTGACAAAGACTCATGCATCCCAGCCTACTCTCAAGTTGTCTATGCAGTCAAGGATAACCTTGAACTCCTGCCCTTCCTACCTTCACTCCGGAGTGCTTGGAGTGCAGGTCAGTGCTGGCATTATTATACACACACACACACACACACACACACACACACACACACACACTACCCCCACCCAAACTCTTCTACAGTCCTGAACTTTGATAGTGCTAGGCAAGCACCCTACCCACTGAGCTTCAGTGCCCAGCCCCTCCTTTTGGCATTTTCTCTTGCCCAAGTGGGAGAGGGCTGGGCTGCCCGAGAAAGCACCATGCCCTCCTTTAACCAGGAGTTGCCTGGGGGACAACAAACTGCCTTGAATCTTCCCTGGGGTAACCGAGTGCTGAAGGTATCTCTTAATGATAACATCTGTGCTTAGCAAGTTCCAGGTCCTGGGTTCAAACCTCAACGCCCAAAAAAGCAAAAGCACCGCAAGACAGAGACACACCTCCCTGGAACAGCATTCAGAGGTCCAAGGACCCCCTTTCTGATGGATCCCTGGAGACACCAATTGTGTGGCTCTCTTAACACCTGGCGATGTACATTCCAAGCGTGCCCCCCCAACTCCCCTGACTCCCCAGTTCTGGAAGTCACCAGTGCCTTTGAACAAGCTTCCTCCAGTACTGAATGAACCAGGAGGACTTTCCGTTCATTCCAACTGGATAGCCCTGAAGGAGGCAGAACGTTCCTCACATTTCCCGCTGCGGTGACTTGCTATCTTGACGAAAGCTTGGACAAAGGCAGGACTACCAAAGGTCTTAAGAGAGCACCACACGCAGAATCCTCGTCCAAGGCTTGTTTTCAGCCAGCGTCGTTCCTTAGCTTGCACATTTCGTTCTTACACTGTCTTCACTCAGGGTTAGTGTGTCCTGAAGGTTCTCCCACAGACATAGCTGACGGTGGGTGGTCCAGGCTGTGTAGTGTCTTGACTTCGCTTGCAGAGTTTCTGCTCCCACTGTCTGGAAGTTTACTCCAAACCCAAATAAGCTCTGAAGAGTTCCAGCACAATTCTTAGCACTTTTTCTGCTGCTGCTTGAGAAATCAGTATTTTGTGGCCAGTGTTGTGCTAAGGTACTTTTTGTTTCTTGGTCTGTTTGGTGTGTTGGGGGGGTGGGGTGGGGGGAGTTTGAATGAATCATCTTAGCAATTCTTAGCTTAACTGCATTCATGAGAAAACAGGGTCTTCAGAAATAGGGTTGTTGTTCATCAAATGCCAAGGTCACATTGCTAGTGACCTCGTGTAATCCCAGCTTTTGCTGACACCAGAGACCTGCTTTCAGATTCCCAGCTTGCAATGCCTGTAAATGTCTCAGACGGTTCTCAAATAACAGAACACCCCTGACATGGGAAGGCTGAAGAGCAGCATGTCTGGGGAAATTTTTCTTTGAAATATGTAGTTAACATGATTTCAACTCAAAAGATAACAGGTAAAAAAAAAAAAAAAGCCTCACCTGTTTTTACTACAAACTAGTAGTAAAAACCTTTTGAAAGTGAAAGGGGTCATTTTAAACAACCAGATCTTCATCTTCCCAGATAAACGAGGGTAGTATAGGTTCACCATGTCACAGGGAAGGGACTCAGGCTCCAGAATACACAAACCACAGCCTATGAAAAGTACTGAAACCCTAATGATAGTAGTAGACTAAACCAATGAAACTTTTCTGACAAGCCTAGGTTCTTCCAAATCTTTCAAACCCTTATCAACCACCTTTTGATGGTCTCTTTTGCATCTGCTAAGTGGGTTTTTTGTTTGCTTTGATTTGTTGATTTGTTTTTGAGATAGGCATCTCCTGTCTACCAGGTTGGCCTTGAACTTTCTTGTAGACACAGCTCCTCCTTCCTCTACTTCCCAAGTGCTGAGGTTTCAGCCAGGCCACTCATATTCCTGCCTCCCATTAGTCTTCTGATAGAGGGCTGGACTCCCCTTTCATAGTTTTCTCTTGGATCCAAACTGTGTCTGTGTCTGTGTAAATGGGGACTTAACCTCTGTTCCCACAGAACCCAGCCAGAGGAGGACACTGTTCAATTATGCACACGCTATCATAAGCACAGTACTATGAAGTAAGGAGTGTGCCTTGTTACATCTTTCCTTTAAAATGGTGTATTAATTTCCTAGTGTCCCCTCCCCCCACAACACAGTGCCACCCTTTGCTGACTTATACCAACAGTGTTTCGTTCACAGAGCTCCAGAGAGCAGAGGTCTGGGATCAAGGTAGCAGTAGGAGGGTCCTTCCTGCCTCCTCTGGCTTCAGCGGGATGCCAGCAATCCTCCACTCCCCTTGCCTAGCAACTGCATCACTGAATTCCCTGCTGCGTGGTCCACGTCACATCCTTCCCCATCTGTGTGTGGATCCTTATGAACACCTTCCTTTTTTGTGTTTAATGTTTGCAGGTAAGTGTGCGTGCATACGTGTATCTTCATCTGTGTGTGCATGTTCTGTGTGTGGCTCCTCACGGATACCTTCCTTTTTCATGTTTAATGTTTGTGGATACGTGCGTGCGAGTATGTGTAATTCTCATCTGTGTGTGCATGGTGTGTGTGGCTGTGCGTGCATGTATGTGCATGTGTGTGCAGAAAGGTGGGTGACAGAGGACAAGCTCAGGCATCGCCCTCACCAATGCAACCTACCTCCTTTGAGACAGGCTCCCTCACAGGCTTGGAGCTCACCAGCTAGGATAGACTGGCTGACTAGAAAGCTCCGTGGGTCCTTCTCCTGTATGTGCCTGCCAGCGCTGAGTTAGAAACTGAGGGCAACGTGCCCAGCATTCAAGCACTTTACTTACTGACTGAGTCGTTTCCCCTCTTTTCTTGTAAGCACCCATTCATCAGATTTAGGATCCACTCTCATCTAGTATGACCTCATATTAGCAAACTGTGTCTGTAAAGATGTGTTTCCTTTCTTTTTCCTTCCTTCCTTCCTTCCCTCCCTCTCTCCCTCCCTCCCTCCTTTCTTTTTCTCTCTCTTTCCTTCCTTCCTTCCTTCCTTCCTTCCTTCCTTCCTTCCTTCTTTCTTTCTTTCTTTCTTTCTTTCTTTCTTTCTTTCTTTCTTTCTTTCTTTAACAGAGTTTCTCTGTTAACAGCTCTAACTGTCCTGGAACTAGCTCCATAGACCAGGCTGGCCTCAAACTCACAGAGAGTCACATGCCTCTGCCTCCTGAGTGCTGGGTCTAAAGGCGTGTGCCACCAACATCTGGCAAAGATGCAGTTTCTAACAACATGTTTATTCTGAAGTTCCTGGTGGACATGATTTGTGGAGGATGCAGAGAGAAAAGCCCCTGGGGCTTAAGTTGAAACTCAGGACAGCTCCATGATCAACCTCTAATGGGGAAGTGCACATAGTAGGTGCTCAGTAATCCAGACTGGAAGCTGGGAATGCTCACACACACACACACACACACACACATACACACACACACCTGTAATCTCCACATTTAGAAGCTGGAAGCAGGAGGATTGCTGGGAGTTCAATGTCAGCCTGGATTGCATGATAAGTACCAGGCCAACTGGAATTTTGTAGCAAGACCCTAGCTCTAAAGCAATTCACCACCATCACCATTGTCATCGTCCTCACCATCTAGGTCAGACTTCTTTGTGAGGGGAAGCAAACTCAGACTGCTGGAAGAAGTTTTCTTCCTGCTTGAGGTCCTTGAGGTCCTTTGCACACCAAGCCCCACCCAAGGCTCCTTCCTTCCCTTTTTAACTTGGCTTTCTCTTCCCACTCTCTGCCCACCAACGCCTCCTCTTCTCCTTGGCTCCTCCTAGTAGCCACGAATGGCAGGGCTTGACAGCGACTCAGAGTAGCACCCCCCCCCTGTGTGTGTGTGTGTGTGTGTGTGTGTGTGTGTGTGTGTGTGTGTGTCCCACCAGCTGAGAGCACTCTCTTTTTCCAACTTTCCTCATCTCATTGCTCTGTGCTTTCAGGGTCCCCAGAAGGCTGACCCCTTAGCCACACACACTTCATACTCTCTTCTCCACAAGTCTCAAGTGAAAGACTTCCGCATCTCAACTTGATCCTGAGCCTTCCTCTTTTTTTTTTTTTTTTTTTTTTTTTTGGATGACAGCAGCTTATTTCTGATGAGAAACATGGCTGCCATCAGGGAGGCTTCTCCTAAGTACCAGCCATCTAGGTGCCATGCACTCCGAATGCCAATGTCACCCACTCTTTCTAGGAGTCTCTTCATGGCGTGTCAAAGGTCATGCCTCTAATTCAAGGAGGGGTCAGACATCAAATCTGGGTCCATCTGATTACAGCATACATTCTCTTCACTCTGCTGCAGTGTTAAAAAAAAATGATCCCTGGGACTTTTGATTCTTCAACAAATCCCTAAGTCAATCTTTCCCAAAATAAACAAGCCCTGAACTCACAGAGATCCCTCTGCCTCTGCTTCTGCCTCTGCCTTTCACGGGATGGGTCTAAAGATATGTGTCATCATGCCAGGGCCTCCAGTCCCCATCTCTTTCAAACGCCAAGCAGGAGAAAGCACCACACTTCAACACGATACCTTACAAGGGTTTTGTACATGTTCTGGAGCTGTTACATTGGGTATGTTCTGTTATTTTCTTTTCTTCTTCTGAAAAGCCTATTTTAAATTTTATTTTGTGACAGGATTTCACTGCAGTCTATATGCTGGCTTTGAATTCGGCACTTCTCCTGTCTCAGCCTCCCACAGGCTAGAATTACTGGGGTAGGCTTGCTCTTCTATTTTCTTTTCCTGAATTTGCCTGAAATCACGGGGATTGGTACAGGTACAGACTGCCAGGAAAGAGGAATACAATGTCAACCCGCCAATCACTTTGGAGTCATTTTTTTTCTCTCTCTGATGCTAGCTGCTTTGGGTTTCTAATCATTTAAGTCTGAAACTGCAAATGATTCAAAGTTGAAGAATACTCTTGGTTGGCAGGTTTCCCTGAAGCTTGACTCAGCATGTTCTGCAGGCCGAGGACAGGCGGCAAAATACCCTCAAACCAGAGACACTAACTAGCCTCACATACTGGACCCCCGCCCCTCCTAGCAAACTTCTGGAGCTTTCCAGACCAAACCTGTTCTCTGCTGCCTCTTTGTACCTGCTGCTCCCTCTCCCAGACACACACTGGCCTGTTAGTTCATTCTCCAAAATATCACAGCATCAAGGAAGGCACTCTGTCCTCCTCTGTCCCAGAGTGGCCCATATGAACCCTATATCAGCCCTGGGTAACTCACATAAAAAGCAGGGGTTAAAACCTGGGCCTTGCCCCAAATCTACTAGGTCAAATTCTGTCGGGTGGAGCCTGGGAAAGGCTCATCTTAACAAGTTCCCCAGGTGCTTGCGAAGATCCTGGGCTGGGCTTCCCAGATCTGAGTCATCGCTTCATCATCCTTCACAGCTTTTATCCTGCACTTCAAGCCAAGAGAACGGATGCTTCAGGGATGCTTGCTGTGTGCACAGCTTGCGTGTGCGATGTGTAATCAACTCTGCGCAACGGTTATCGGAATTCAGACAATGTGGAGACTCTTCCCATCACTGTGCTGTCAAAGGGGAAACCGAGGCACAGAAAGATTAGGAAACTGTTCCAAGGTCACCCATCAAATAAGAGCTGGCTCCAGACTACCCCCAATATTTTCAGAATTTGTGATGTCTGTGGGTTTCTTTCCTTAAATCACCTTGCTTTAGCACACATATAAATTATTTGAATCTAATGCAAAATCTGTGAAAACAGAGACTTGGGGCTATTTGTCAACTGTTGGATAACCAGGAACTAGAACAATATGAGACAGGATCACAGTCAACACACATCTGTGAAATGAATGAATGAACATGTGAACATTCAAAATAGAGTTTGGGTGTCGGTTCTGTTTATTCCTTCATACTCACTAAAATTACATTGACATTAAAATTTAAAAGTATGTGCGTGTGCGTGTGAGTGTGCGTGTGTGTCACCTGATACCTGTATATTCCAGTTATGAAAATCTCCGAGCTGTAATTGACATTTCATTGTGCTGACCATCATTAACTGGAAATTTTCTAGCAAGGGTGTTAAGTCCCTGAGAACAGGGACTAGATTCATTCCTCTTGCTGTTGGGTACAAGCCAACAAGAGCAGTGTTCTTGCCTCTTGCCAGAGAGCAGGCTACACGGTTCTTTGAAATGCAAGCTATAGACCGTCCTTTCAAAGCCTTTGAAAGCTAAAAGGTGGTGGCAGGATTTGGTGGATGGTAAAAAACAATGAGGTGAGAGACCTGGATTAGAGCTTGGCTGTTAGACTGGAGAATCTCAAGCTCTCCTCTGGCTGGTACTCATGTCTCCTGTGCACTGGTGGCCTTTCTCAACCTGAAAACTTCTTGCAGAGAAAGATTATGTCATCATTGTTCACCAACGTATCTCTTAGGATTTCACCAGTGCCCAGAAGATGTTCAGTAAGAGACACCATAGGATGCCTGGACTTGTAGTACATGCCCATAGTCCCAGTTCTTCTGCAGACTGAGGCAGGAGGATCTTATGAATCCATGAGTCTGAGACTAGCTTGGGCAATATATCAAAATCACGGTTTCAATACTTGTACACACATATATTTTTAAATGTAGTAGAATGTAGACAGTTTATTAAGAGCTCACCGGAGAATGGGAATGGGCTGGTGAGCTGGGGAAAGGCATACATTCAAATTCCGAATGTTTTGAAGTTGTTGTTTACAGCCAACGCTGACCTCAAGTTTATTATGATCCTCTCATCTTGACCTCCAAAGTATCTGGAACTATAGGCATATGACACCATACCCTGATTTAAACACACACACACACACACACACACACACACACATTTTGAAATGCAGTCTCATGAAGTCCATGTTAATCTGCTACTTACTATGTAGTTGAAGCTGGCCCTGAACTACTCATGTTCCTGTCTCTACCTCCTAAAATTTTAGATTATACATACACATCATCATACTCAATTCTCTGCTCAAGAATTTTAATATATATATGTTCACTATTTATGAATGCTTTCACTCATGGTAGGGGGATTTATTACATAGCAATACACAACTCATATACTCATTTAAACAATTTGTGTTATAGAGGCAGCAGGTTCTGTGCTATTGGACATGCCTAGCTTATTTAGGCCTTGGTCTTGATTCCCTAGCGCTGTGTTGGATCATAGAGGATAGGCTGGCGTACAGACAGACAGACAGACAGACAGACAGATAGATGAGAGAGAAACAGAGTTAGGGAGAGAATAGATGGATAGCTCCCTAAGTATAGTCATGTAGAGTGTGCTCCAAATATTTCCACTTCTTCACACTGCTGAAATGTGGTGGGCTTGACTTGCCCATCCCCCTTAGTTAGGTGTTAGGCCAGTAACAGGTGAGTAAGCCTGAGATTTGATGTTTGGAGGCAAAGGCTTCCAGATGTGGTACCGCCATGAATGTGCCACCGTATCTCCTGTCTGACAGTCCTGGAAACCCTGGAGCATCATCACTGTGCTCCTGGCTGAAGAGGACACAAAACACACACCCCATTAGCCCAAGGGAAACACAGATGTCAAGGAAGAAGTGGGCCTTTGCTGTGTAATGTGAAGATTTCCCAAGTTGTTTCTTACAGTAGAATCGCTTCCCTTGTCCTGACTGGAAACTGCAATGTCTCTTTGGACTGCTGTCGCTGTTACCACAGTTCTTGGGTTCAAATCCATGACCTTGTGCGTGCTAGGCAGGTGCTCTACTGCTGTGGCACATCCCCAGCCCTAATATTTGCAATTAAACTCAAATTGTAGTTAGTCTCAACCTTAGCTATCAGCGGAACACATTGTCTTTTTGTTTTCCTACATTATTAGCGGTTTTTAGTAATCTAAAATACACCTTCTCATATATGTTGCTGCATAGTGAGGATCTCAGAAAGAACCACCAGTTCATTAAAAGCTGCCCTTATGGCAATTTGTGAGAAGCACTTCCTTCCCATTGCCAAACAGCCCTGTCTTTGAGCACAGAGGCAGCAATTATTGTATCATTCTTAATACACTGATTTTTATTTTAAGCTCTGGAGGTGTTAAGAACAAATAACTGAAAATGTTTTCTTTTTTCCCTGGCAGCTAAGGCAAGTGTTGTCCCATCCACAGCAGGCATGCAAGACTTCGTGACTCCTTTTTCAGTATTAATATTGTCCTTAGCCTTGTGGTATTTCCCTTAGCATTTTTTTCTCTTCTTTGTTTTCCTTACCTTGACTCCTTACTTTCAATAAATTCTTTTGCGTGTATTTACTTATTCAGTAGATGGGTGTGTATATGTGTTATGAGGGTCACAGGAAAACTTCCTGGAGTCAGTTCTTTTTCTTTTATTTACTTTTGTTTTATATGCATTGGTGTTCTGTCTGCGTGTATGTCTGTGTGAGGGTGTCAGATCCTGGAGTTATAGACAGTCGTGAGCTGCCATGTGGGTGCTGGGAATTGAACCCAGGTCCTCTGGAAGAGCAGTGGGTGCTCCTAGCCACTGAGCCATCTCTCCATCCCCTGAAGTGAGCTCTTCACTCTTACTACATGGGTTCCAAGAATCAGATTCAGATTGTCAGGTTTAATAGCAAGTTTCTTCATCCACAGAGCCATTCCCATTGGCCCCTTGGGGGATAGGAATGAGAATTACCCTCATAGGATCATATACTTGAATGTTTGGTTCCCTGTCAGTGGAACAGTTTGGGAGGTGTTAGGAGGTGTGGCCTTGTTGGAGGAGGTGTGGCCTTCCTGGAGGCGTGTCGCTAGGGGTGAGCTTTGAGGTTTTAAAAGCCCTGCCAGGCTCAGGCTTTCTCTCTCTCTGCTTACTGCCAGCAGATCAAGATGTAAAGCTCCCAGTTACAACTCCAGTGTCATGCTTGCTTGTGTCCCATCGTGACAATCATGGGCTAACCCTCTAAACAGTAAGCAAGCCTCCAATGAAATGTTTTCATTGTAAGAGTCACTTTGGTTGTAGTGTCTCTTCCCAGCAATACATCAGAAACTGAGAGACCCCTTCATTCTGATTTCTTTACTCAAAAGAGAGAACCTCACAGCCATTTTAATAAGAGAAGAAAAGTAAGTCGGTTCTAGATGCGCATAGTGCCAAAGTGTTTTCCAATATATCATATTAAGGCCAGCAAATGGCTGATCCAGTAAAGGCACTTGCTGTAGAGTCTGCAGACCTGAGTCTTGGCCCCAACCCACCATAAATAGACTATATGAAATAAAAATGTTTGTTTATACCATAGATTCGTGCTGATCTCAGTCCTAACCAGAGACACCTCTGTTTGCAGGTCATGATCAAGGCTGAGACTTGTAGCTATTCAAAGCCCAGAGAATAGTGACTGGTGCTCAGCATTAAACATGGAACACCTGTGTCACTCACGTCAAGGCTCAGGGAACATCTGAGTGGGGGCAGGGAGAAAAATAAGAGCCAGAAAAAGCAGGGAAGGGTGCCATGAAATGTGCTGTCTTCTTGGGGACATGACACGGCCATTGTGCTCATGAACTTACGGTAGCAGTGCCTACCTGCGCAGGTATGCCTGTCAATGTCCTGTCATGGATCAGGGAGATGTTAAACCCTTTCTTCCTCCTGAGACATTTAATGGTTGCTGGCAGGGGGAGGACAGTCGTATTTCTCAGTGCTGTAGTCATTGGTAAATTGCCCTTGCTTAAGTAAATACACCCCCGCCCCCCACACACACACAGGCACGCACGCACGCACGCACGCACACTCGCACGCCTTCTTTAGAGAAAGAATGGAAGTAGAGAATAGGAAAATGAGGAGCAGGAAGAAGAAGAGAAGAAGGCAGGAAAGACACAGGAAGTAAGCCTTAATCTCTCAGATCAATATGGTGGGAGAGGGTCAGCATAAGAACACTGTATGCAAAGGGCAGAGACATGAAGAGGATGACATACATAATTTGTAGGGCCCGATACAAAACCAAAGCATAGCGTCACTTGTTCATATTGTAACAATTTCCAGGTGGCTTCCTCAGAGCACTAAAACAGATGACAGTCTTTCTGAGTGGGGGTCCTGTGTGACCGCCTTCCCATGATGTCCTCCTGGGGACCAGGGAATGAAGTCTTCTTCCTTGGGCCACAGGCGGCATCATTACGACAAGCAGGTGCCTGGTGTGTTCTAGTAGCTGAAGTCTGTTTCCTGGAAGTGAACAGAGCCCATTGAGTGTGCTCTTCCAAAGCCTCTATTAATACCAGGAAGCTGTGCAAACTGAGGAGGCTCAGCCTGGGTTCTCAGAAGCAGTGCTGGGGAAATCCTCACAGCTTCAGCAAGCCTCAGTCAAAGCACAGCCTGTTCTCTGAGGACAGACACAGATCCCCTAATGAGAGTGTTCAGTCTGCTCAAGGCCGTTTCTGCTGTGTACCTGGGAACGCGACAATTTGTTATCAGCCCATAAATGCTCACTGATCCCAGCTCCAGGTAAACCCTACAATTTCCAGGCTGTCTTCGAGGGATAAGCTTAATTAGGATATTTGTGTCTCGTATCCTGCAGTTGTGATGATCTCAGCCATTAGCTCGGCTATATTTAATTTTTTTAACATCTGTTTAGTGCGTGTGACTGTGTGCATGTGTGCGTGTGCATGTGTGCGTGCGCACTGGCATGCGTGTGGTCAGAGGACAACTGAAGGCAGATGGTTCCCTTCTTCCACCTTGTGAGCCTGGGGAATCAAACTTAGGTCATC